TAAAACGTACTAGTTTATAAATAACAGTTGGAATAGGTTAAGTTTACTCGCTTGGGTTTAAAAGGCCTCTTTTTCCCTTTTTTCCCTCAGTCCCAGGAATTAAAGATAGTCTAGATAAGAGGAAGATAAGAGTTCTTGAGAGCTCTGGTAGAGCATTTATATCTCAAAGATGCAGGGAGAGAAATGCAAGGTCCTCCTAGAAGGACTTTGTGCCCCGAGGGTCAGAATTTGGCAAGATGTTTTATCAAGCTGCCTCTCTCTAACTGCTTATGCAAAAACCAGTTTGGGAATGCCAAAAAAAGAGCCCCATCTTGGCCATTTCAGGGAGGATTTCCTTAATTCTTAAGTAAGTAAGTACTTGCAAGTATAAGTTCTGTATGATATGTAAACCTGCCTTGGGTATTGGTCAGGGGTTATCTGGCATCCCTTTTTCTTCCGTTTGAGAGACTCTATTTCTCTCTTTTTTTTTTTTTTTTTTTTTGCGGTACGCGGGCCTCCCACTGTTGTGGCCTCTCCCGTTGCGGAGCACAGGCTCTGGACGCGCAGGCTCAGCGGCCATGGCTCACGGGCCCAGCCGCTCCGCGGCATGTGGGATCCTCCCAGACTGGGGCACGAACCTGTGTCCCCTGCATTGGCAGGCAGACTCTCAACCACTGCACCACCAGGGAAGCCCCTATTTCTCATTTTAAAATTGGCTTGTCAGAATAAAATCACTACTGAAAACTGTGGTGGGCCGATGTGCGGTTTGTGAGCTTAATTCTCCTAGGTGTCACCCTAGAGTCGTTTTAGCTCTTTTTCGTGTCTGGGTTTCTCTTACTGGCAGCCTAAAAATGCTCTGGGGGCCCTGAGCACTGAATGGCCCGTTCTTATATGTGCGCCCCTGGCTGACTGAGTTTTTAAGGAGTGGCTTTCCCTAGGGACCTGCTGCACAGTGTGAGGACTCCCTCCGCCACTCCCATAAATGCCTCAGTTGCCGGAGAAAGCTGTAATCGGCCCCACCCCTTAGCAATCTGCTCTGTCGCTATGGATTCGCCTGTTCTAGATATTTCATATAAATGGAGGAGCTGTGTGTCTTCTCTTTGGAGCTGAAAGCTCTCCTACGGTATCTTCACTTTTATTCTGACAAATCCTGTTAAGGTAGATGATTTGAGGAAACACATCAGGTCAGCCTCCTACCTAGTCACCCAGTCTGAACCTTCCCAGTGTCTTTCAAATGAACAAAATATTCCCATTCTCTCTCAACTGGGCACTTTCTCAGAATCTTACAACTGAACACTTTCTCAGTATCTCTTACAAAGGAAAAGTCCTACCCACTACTGAAAAAAACTCAGACAGGAGATCCGAGACCAGGAGAGACTCAGCCAAATTCGTCTGGACTCTCAGCGAGGCACAAGGGCCCTTGCTGGTACCAAGGTCCAGATCCTTGGAGAGTTCAGGTGAAGGAGAAAAGTCTGCTCTGGGTCCGTTCATGGTTGCCAAAACTCTTGACAGAAATAAAAATGCACAACATGAGAGCTGTGATTTTGGGGTTTCTTCAGGGGCCTGAGGACTATAGCCTCTCAGGTAGCTCTGAGGAACTGCTCCGAAGAGGTAGGAAAGAGCCAGTATACGTGAATTGTTTTGGCTGGGAAATACATATAGTCAAACATACACCTTGGTAAAAGGTTACTGCTAATCACAAAAAAACCCTCAGATATCTCAAGTTAATGATTTTAGTGCTTATTTATGCATAGGAGGATGCAAGAATCTGGTGTCATTGAAATTCTTCCTAATATGCATCTTAACTGTCTAGGTACCAAAAAACACAGAATGTTTCATCCTGTTTTTCATCCTGAATTCCTTTCAGTGTGTACCGTAGGTCAGTGACTGCAGTGGCAGATAACTTGGTCCTTGTAGAACTGGATGGCGGGCAACATTTGTTTTGCAGGCTCTGTCTAATGGATTTCAGGAAAGCACTATATTGTCTGCACTGTGAGAACTTTCAGCATCTACAGTTAAGATGTATAATAATCTTTTTACGTTGGTGGCTTTTATTTTTAAAACTGAACATTTACCCCATTTTAAAGATGAGAAAAGAGAGGCTTAGATACAGGACATGGCAGACCCTGGACTTGAACCCTTGTCTACCCCACTATCCACCATATTACATTGCCTGTTGGTTATTGTTTTCTGCTGGTCTCAGCCTATCAATAACCAGTGCTGTGACTGGACCAGTCCTTGTGGTTCTGATATGATTGCAAGACGCCCTTCAGAAATAACCATCAGGACACTTTGGAAAAATAATAAAGGTATGTTACTTACAAGACCTGGAAATTACATGGCACACCGGGGCCACACAGTAAGGTTGGGTCAAGGGTGGTGGAGAGAAAGCAAGAGAGTGGGAGTGAGGGTCTGGGGCTCTGCTTTTTTTGGGGTTTGACAGTGGGGCCCTAGGGTTTCACGGGCTCACTCTTTGTAAATTTAAAACATAAGAGCAGGAATTTAATGCGTGGGAAGAGAAAAAAAAACAAGTGGTCCGAATGGTCAGTTATCAAAGTCGACCAAGATCTTTGAAAGGAGCTTCAGCGGGGAGAGGTGGCCTGGCTGTGTGGCTGGCAATGTGTTTATTCTTCTCCATTAGCTATCTTCTTCGAGGCGGATGCTTGCACAGCCAGAGCACTTGCGTTACAAAAAAAAGCACAAGAAACCCCAAACTGTCAGGGCTTATACTACAGTTAGTTATCGGTGTAGATTGGTTAATTATTGGTGACCAGATCTGCCTGGAGGAAACCCAAAATGTTCTCATTGTAGTTTTGTGAAGTGTAGTTTGTTACAGAGGATACGTGGAAAGTATCTGTCTTCAAAGTGTCTGATTTTTTTAATTTTTAGGAAAAAAATGTAAATACACAAAAGCACTAAATTGAGATGACAAACTTCTGCGTATCTATGATCAAAGTTTAAACAGATAGTATTTGCGTCAGGTTTTTTAAAAAAATTACTGAAGCCATTGAAATTCTTTCTGTACATCCCCTTAATCCTGTTTCTCTCCTCTCACCCTCGTTTCCTACATAGACAAGACTCTTATGAATTTTATGCATATTCTTTCATGTTTTTATATTTTTATAATATGTGTATTAAGACAAAGATCTTTTTACATAATGCTTTTATTAAATACACACATTTTATATATATGTCCTATACATAATTTCATACACATACACAAAATCTCATAGCCATAAACAATGTAATAATCACTAACATTTACAAGGTGGCCTTAGTTCTAAGAACTTTACATGTATTAACTCATTTAATTTTAATAATAATCCCATAAGTTATGTACTCTTATTCTCCCCATTTTACAGATGAAAAGGGTGAGGCACAGAGAGATTAAATAACTTGCCCAAGGGCCACAAGCCATAAGTGGCGGAGCCACTGCCTCTTATAGATAATAATGTTTTAAGTGTTAAAGAAACAACTTATACATAAGCGCTATTATATTGTACTTAATATTCAAAAACTTGGTTTTTACTCAGCATTGTTCTTGAGATTCTATTCCTTCGGACAAAAATTCTATAAAGTGCTGTGCTTTATGGTTTCCATCATATGACTTTACTGTCTTTTCTTTGTCCATTCTCATATTAATGGATATTTAGTTTTGTTTCTCCCAGTTTTCTGTATTACAAGAGAATGCTGCAATGAACACCCCTGTACTTGTCTTCTTGTGCACTCATGTGAGGAGTCTCTCTGGGGCACTAGCTGGTAGTAGAGTAGCTGGGTTAAAGGGTATTTACTTTTTCAACTTTTCCAGATATTGGCAACTTTTTCTCCCAGTTGTTTATGCCTCAGTGCACAGATTACATTCCCACTAGTCAGAGACGGAATATACATACAGACAATGGCCAGACCATATATAAAAAAGGAACTCTGACAGAGAAAGACAAATATCATATGATATCACTTGTATGTGGAATCTAACCAAAAAAATGATATACATGAACTTATTTATAAAACAGAAATAGACTCACAGGCATAGAAAACAAACTTACATTTACCAAAGGGGATGGTGGGGGGAGAGATAAATTAGGAGTTTGGGATTAACATATACACACTACTATATATAAACAACAAGGACCTACTGTACAGCACAGGGAACTATATTCTATTGATATATCTTGTAATAACCTATAATGGAAAATAATCTGAAAAATATATATATATCATATATATATTGTATATATATAACTGAATCACTTTGCTGTACACCTGAAACACAACATTCAAAATTAACTACACTTCAAGTTTTTAAAAAATGGGTTAAAAAAAAAAAATCACAAACAGCCAAAACAAAAACAAAACAAACCGGAACTCTGACCTGTAACCTGCAGAAACCCTGCCCAGAAAACCACTCCTCACCTACAGTAAGCAGCCCAGGAAGGCAGCTTGCTCTGAGTCAGGCTTGCAGAAGCTATTGTCGCAATTAGCATTTGACTGATCCTTAGTGAGATGGAGCCATTCATTGTATTAAGACAGTTCTTTCCAGAGGTCATTAAGGGATTTATAGTAAGGTGTTAGGAAATTACCTTTTAAAGTAGGGGAGGATACAAATGTCAGATGGGTGTAGCTTTATTCATGTTTGAAGAGAAAGCAAGTAGTCTAGAACCATTATCTTAGACTTTTTCTTTTAAGCAGAGAAAGTCTTATTTTTTTTCCCTTAACTAAATTATGTAGGACCATAAACAAGATGAAAACTGGAACACCTCGGGTAAAATAAAGTCAGTAGTACGGTTCCACCCACCTGGCCCCCTCCCCTTCCTTCTTGCCTCCCCTGCCCCCAGATCACCGGAGACCCCCTTGGCGGAATCCCAGGGCTGGATGGTAACCTACAAGGTGCTGTAGGATGCCTCCTGGTGAGAGCATTTGATGAGATTTTTCATCTCTCTCAGCCTCAGTCAGAAGGGGAACTTGATAAATTCTACAAGACTTTGGGCTAAACGTATTCTATTTCTTTGGTCTCCTGGCAGGCAGGAATTTGTGGATGCTTATGTGAATTATGTCTTCCAAATCTCAGTTCACGAATGGTACACAGCTTTCTCCAGCGGCTTCCTAAAGGTGTGTGGTGGCAAAGTGCTTGAGCTCTTCCAGCCTTCGGAACTGAGGGCCATGATGGTGGGGAACAGCAACTACAACTGGGAGGCACTGGAGGAGGTAAGCCAAAAAGGTGCAGTCTGTCCCCTCTGAGGAGGCAGCACCGGCCTGGGCACAGCGCCCAGAACCCGGTCTCTCTTCTTTTTTTTTCTTTTTGCGGTACGCGGGCCTCTCACTGTTGCGGCCTCTCCCGTTGCGGAGCGCAGGCCCAGCGGCCATGGCTCACGGGCCCAGCCGCTCCGCGGCATGTGGGATCTTCCCGGACCGGGGCACGAACCCGTGTCCCCTGCATCGGCAGGCGGACTCCTAACCACTGCGCCACCAGGGAAGCCCCCTCCCCCGCCCCGGTCTCTTTCTTAAGTATTCGGTGGTCACGTAGGATTTGGAGGCCTCCTGCATCTCGGTGGTTATTTCTTACTCTCCAGTGCAAATGGTATACAGATGTCCACTTGTAATATTCTTCTGGAAGATGATTTTTTTCTTTCTGTCTTTTTTGGGCAGACTGCCATCTACAAGGGTGATTACTCAGCCACACATCCCACTGTGAAACTATTTTGGGAAACATTTCACGAGTTCCCATTGGAAAAGAAGAAGAAATTTCTCTGTAAGTAATGTCAGTGTGGTTGGCGTCTGTGTCCATATTTCAGTATTGCACTTGGTATAGGATGGTGTACACTCCACGGTGAAGTTCAGCTCTTTTAAATGGTAAAGGGTAAGTGAGGAAATATATTTACATTTCCTGTCTTAGTGATATCTGAGGCGCAACAGAGGTGGTTAATCCTTATTTGTTGTGTAACGGGGTGGGTTGCATGAAAGGAAGAAAAGCATTTCACTGATTTTTAATTGCTCGAAATATACTAGTTATTTTATATGAAGGTGATTCCTTTAAGTATTACATTGATGAAATCGAATTGTTTGGATTAACCTCCCTTATCTTTCTAGCCTTTTGAAAATATTAGTGTCTACTGCAGATGTAACTGGGGAGATGTGATTTATAATAGCTTTATTGAGATTTAATTCACACACACATACTGTTACAATTCAGCCATCCAAAGTGTACAGTTGCGTGGTTTTTAGTATATTCAGAGTTGTGAAACTATCGATTAATTTTAGAACACGTTCATCACCCCAAGAAGAAACACTATACCCGTTAGCAATCTTTCCCCATTTCCTCCCAGCCTCCCCACCCCTTAGCAATCTGCTCTGTCGCTATGGATTCGCCTGTTCTAGATATTTCATATAAGTGGAATCATACAATAAATGGTCCTTTGTGACTGGCTGGATGACGTTTGAGAATGGTAGTACATTTGCAAAGGAAAATGAAGTCTAGTTTACATGAACAAATTACCCTTTTAAAAATAGTAGAAATCTTTGTGTCATTGTATAATCAGTCATAAATTAGCCATTGAATAGCGTAACATTTTTATCAATATAAAATGAAAAAAACAGAGTTTGAAAGGCAGTCTCTTTTGCTTTTTAAGAATGAGCATATATTCGTATTAATGCAAGATGTACCCCCCAGATTCTGCTGCTCCCATGGAGTAAGGATGAGAGGAAGCGGAGATCTCACAAAAGAATTCCTAAAAAGAGCCCTGCTTCCCCTCTGCCCAGTTACATGGGCCCTTGAGAAATAGCAGCATGTGAGTCAAAATGACAGGATAAATTTGCCAGTGGATCTTGTGGAACTGTGACAATCAAGAGGCGCTTGCCCTTGGTCAGGGGATTTCCTTAAAAGAAGATGTTTTTCTGTTCAGAGACCATTGGACTTTCATAAATTTTTATTAACTTTACAGATTTGGCAAGAATGTTTATGTATCGTAGCCTCAGGTAGTGACAGCTTATCTGAACGTGCTCCTTAACTAATGATTTCATTGTATCGATAGTTAATTTTCCAGCAGTTCAACAAAGAAGGTTATCTAGTGCTGGAAAACAGGAAAAGACAGCTGGGTTGGTCTTTTTTTCCCTCCAAGTCACAAGTGTGTCGCAAGAGGGAAATGTCTCATATAATGTCAGTGTCAGATCTTCTGGTTTAAGAGAAATGGAGAGACAGGGAAAAGGCAAGCAAACAGATGCCAAATGGAAATTCACCAGCCAAGGGGGTATAATAAGCACAGACACTTGAGGGGAGAGGGGAGACCCTGAGGCCCCATGGACTGTAGTCTTCTTCTGGGCTTCTGAGGTCAGCCCTTTTCCTAGGTCAGCAGTTCCCTTCCTCTTTGATTTTGTGAAAGCTTGTAACATTTATGAGGCCATACATTTCACTGAGGCCATTTTTTATTCGGGGGCATTTTTGAGCATCTTTCTTTCCATTGGATGGATGCTTTGTGTCAGTGTATAATTAGGGTCTGAAATTAGCCAATGAAAAGTATAGACTTTTTATCCATATAAAACCAAAACACAGGGTTTGTAAGGCAATCTCTTGCTTTATAAGTGAGCATTTATTAATATTAATACAACACATATTGGCACAAAAAAGTGGTTGTACTTCTCACATGAGCCACAGGGTGTCACCCCTTCCCTTCTGTTCCTCCCTGGGCCGCAGAGAGCCGCTCCCCATTTACCTAGCTGGTGTTTCCCATTCTCTTTCTCCGCAGTGTTCCTGACAGGCAGCGACCGCATCCCCATCTATGGCATGGCCAGCCTGCAGATTGTCATCCAGTCCACAGCCAGCGGGGAGGAGTACTTGCCCGTGGCCCACACTTGCTACAACCTTCTTGACCTCCCCAAGTACAGCAGCAAAGAGGTCCTGTGTGCACGGCTGACCCAGGCCCTTGACAACTACGAGGGGTTCAGTTTGGCCTGAGGCTCCCCAGCTTGCCTCAGATTCCCCTCCCTTCCTCCACGCCCACACTGAGGCCCATACAGAAAATCATGGGGAGTGAGTTCTGGTTTTTTAAATTGTATAAGTGGGTTGGAACTTCTGAATCCTGAACCTGATTGATGCATTTCTGGGGTGGTAAGCAGTGACCTTTTTGACAAATCAGGGGTTAGGGATGGGGTGAAAAACTGGCCCTTGTCTGGGAAGCGATTTTGTTTCTAAACCCAGTTCCCCATTGTTCCTTGCACGTGTGACTACGTTGTACTCTGCTGGATAAAAGGGCAGTGGACTTTTAAACTCGCATCCCCAGATGTCTCTCTCAGCCCTGACCTTTCCTGATGACGCTTCCTTGTCTTCCTAACTTCTCATTCCTCTGCAAGAATGATTTGACTGACCTGTCCTTTCTCACCCGCACGTGCAGAACATCTCCTTTCTCTGCAGCCTTGGAAATGCTCCTGGCTTGTTGCTGTCCAACCCTAAGGACTAAGAAGGGGAGGATTACTTCAGAAATTCCCAAGCCCAACAAGCTGAAGCTGGGCCTATGACTTTGGCGGAACTCTTGCGAATTTATGGGAGCCTTTCATAAACCTGCCTTTTGCCTAAAAACACAGTTCTTGAGGGACTGGCCATCTCCCTATGGCTCTGCCTATGCCCGGCCCTCCTCAAAGGGGTGCAGAGCCGCGTGACTGAGCCGACCTCTGGCTGGTGGCCCCGCCAAGCCCTTCTGACAACAAGATGAGGTAACAGGCCCTCACCCTCTTGCATCATTTTGCTCTTGGAGCAGGTTGCATCAATCTTCTAAGGAATATTTTCTCCCAGAAAAGTAGAATAAATTTCTTATCCTTTTCCCTATCACTTTCTGTCTCTCCCACTTCATCTCTCCCCCCACCCTCCTACTTTTCTCTTCACTTCATCCCGTTCTCTGTTGCCTGACTTAATGTCCCTTCCTCTCCTGCTGGATGCATGCAGTCGATTTTCGTTTTCTATTGAAATTGCAAAATTTCTACTCAGATTTTGTTTTTTTCCTCTTCCCTAACTGCTAAGACTTAAGGACATTCTTTATTATGGAACTTCTGTTTATTGCATTTGGAATGTGTGTTTACAGTGGGATTTCAGGAGGAATTGTGTTTGAGGCAAATATATATATGTCAGAAATCATGACACACTCAGCCTTCTGCATCATGGGATAAGAAAATTCTCCATGAGCAAAGAATCCATGTCAGCCTAAGTTTAAATTCCTAGTCACTAGAGAAAAGACTTATTTATATAAAATGAAGTATTTATGAACCGTGAGACAGCATCAAGTCTCAGTGAAGGATTGTAGATTTTTTGCTTTTTGTTTTTAAAACTTATTCCAATTGCTGAATTGGTAGTTTTTCAGTCTTTATAATACAAGATTAAAAAAGAAGTTATATGAAATGTTTATTTTCTATGTGTGTGCCTATAGTTTAATATTGTGCAATAAAGCTGCTGTTTTAACGTAACCAGAACTATTTCTTGTGCTTGCAGAATGGGTAGCTTGCTTTCAGTACAAGAATTAAGTCATCTACCCGAGTCAGCTAACAGAAGGTCAAACTTGCTTCCTGCCCCAAGAGAGTAGAACCAACTGCTGGGAAAATGAAGAGGAAAACAGGGTAGGGGGGGAGCATATGGCATTAAGGAGGGCTGGGATTTCTGAAGCTTCTGATGGGTGAAAAGGCATTTCTCACGGAGGGGAAGGCCTTGGCAAGGGCTTGAACATGGGGAAGTATTTAAGGAAGGGCCGGGAACAATTCGAAGGGAGCATCTAATGGTAAATAAGACTGGGGAGAAAGACAGGAAGTTTGGGGCTGAGGAACCAGGCTAAGCCTTGGACCTTCAAAATGTTCAGAGCCTCGGGGTGGGGGAAGGAGGCAGTGATATGAGTTGAGCCTGGTTTTAAGGAAATGCGGATAAGGGTACTTGTGTTGGCTTGGAGTGGGAAGGACAGCAGCTGAGAGCAGTGGCGGGGGGCAGCAGTGGAAAGAAGAGCTGTGCGCAGGAGGGACGGGAGCAGGGGAGGCGATGGGAGCCTTCAGGGAAAAGGAGGAATTAAAGGTGAATCTAAGACTTAGTAGTAATCTAATGGCTGATGCTAATTAGCCCACTTATACACAGCAAAAAAATTTTCAATGTTTTAAAAAGAATTACCATGTACTGTTTTTACCAGACTTAATAGATGGTTTAAAAGTGGTAAAGAGAACAGTAGCTTTCCATTGATAAGTAAGTTCCATTCAACAAACACTTAAGAGCATACATAAGTGCTCAGTTTGCAGGACAAAAAAAGCCTGTTACCTTTAATTTTGAATGAAAATAGCCAAGTTATTTAAATTTGAG